TGATAATAAAGTAGTAAAGAAAGAAATTGAGCTTTTGCCATAAACTCAAATTTATATTTTAGCAACATGATGGTGTAAGCCTTTAATATTTTAAATTATACTATTTGATTTAACAGAATTTGAATATCAAAGGTAAAATTTTTTTTAGAAAAACTAAAGTTTGAATATTTAGACAATTTTGTTCACTATTATAACAATAGTGTAAAGATGAAACATTATGTTCGGTATATTTAACTTACCAAAATTATGTTCAGCATTACAAGATTTATGTTCAAAATCTCTAAAACACTATTAGTGATTTGAAATTTGTTTGATATCCTTTACAATCTGTTTATAATTCAAACTAAATATGTTTTTCATTTTGAAATTATAGAAATTAAAATAAAATTATGTACTATGGAAAGTCAAGGTACATTTTTATGTAAAATTTACTTTTGCATTTTCTAAAACCTTTGTTTTTAACCTAATATTGGGTTTGACAAATTACGCAATTTGTCAAAAGCTTTCGGCTTTGTGTCTTTTTAATTCATGTCAGACATTGTATAATAAACATAATTTTTCTAAATCAATGAAGGAAACCAAAAGTATACAAAAATTATTCTAAATTTTATTTATATGTAGAAATGTTGTTGTTGGAATTATGTTGTTAGTCAATTTAAAATCTATTTTTAGGTCCTTGTATTACAGAGTTTAGAACAAGAATGTCTAGGTAATTTTTGTTTGACCGTTTACACGGATCATTATTTTAAAAGATTTAATTATTTTAAATGATTTAATCATTTTAATTGATTTAATCATTTTAATTGATTTAATCATTTTAATTGATTTAGTTATTTTAATTGATTTAGTTATTTTAAATGATTTAATCATTTTAATTGGTTTAAACAAGTTAATTGATTTAATCATTTAAATTGCTTTTAATCATATTAATTGATTTATTCATTTTAAATGATTTAATTATTTTAATTGATTTAATCATTTTAATTGATTTAATCATTTTAATTGATATAATCATTTTAAATGATTTAATAATTTTAATTGATTTAATCATTTTAATTGGTTTAAAGATTTTAATTGATTCAATCTTTTTAATTGATTTAATCATTTTAATTGGTTTAAACATTTTAATTGATTTATTCATTTATATTGCTTTAATCATTTTAATTGATTTAATCATTTTAATTGTCCCTCCATTTGATGATCCTGCGCTTTAATACACCGATAAACCTTTTTGATCAATAATGTGATAAAAATAGTGTACGTACTTCTGTCTCAAAATGTTTGCACCTATATTTTAAAAGTGAAAATCCGAAACTTATTGTGACATAAAACCACAGTTTAAAATAATCAATTTTCAAAATTAAAAACAGAAATAAGTCGAGGATTTGCAAATTTGAAATGAAGGTCATTTTTCACAAAATATCAAAAATAACAGCTTACAATCTTATCTTACATCATGAAACGACATCAACCGTTTCTATCTTACCAATTCTTAGTCATTTAATTTACATACAACCTCTAGAAAAGATCACACAATATATTTTGTGATATCTATGTATATTATTTTGGCTTGTTTCTCTCTTTCAAATAAACGTTAAAACGGCTGAACCGAATTTGGCCCAAATTCTTCTTCAGAACTCACACAACCCGAAGGTTTATAACCAGTTAGAAGTGTAAAATTTTATGAGGAAAAAATGTTTACTTTTTTTGATTTAAAATTTTTTTAAAGTGTTTAGACAAATCCAGAAAATTCAGAGTTTTACAATAAAGAAGAAAAACTGTCCGCTTGAACAGCAACATTTAAACTGCTGCTAGAAGAGAGGCACCCTGAAATCCAAGTGCTTTAAAAATGGTTCCCATGTTTCTGATCAAAACATTGGAAAAATTAAAAAGTCTGTTGTGTTCTAGATTAGATGAAGAGATAGATATAATGTTTGAGGATTTATTAGAACTTTACGAGGTAAAGTTAGAGAATACCCACGTAAGACCCTAAATTGTCCGAATTCTTTCAAAAATTCAAATATTTGAAGTCTATTTTACTCCTGAGCCCGCGATTTAAAAGCTACGGCTCGAGGCGTATTTCCTTAAACCCGACTTTAAGACCAAATCTTAAACCCAACTCTGACGACAGCTTGTGTCACGTGATTGACAGCTGCACGATCTTCGGTTCGACTTTAGGAGTTATAGGCTCAATGAAAATAAAACCGACCTTGATTGGTTTTAGTGGGGAATAACACTCAATGGCAACGTCTTGTTCTCATAAAACTGGGAATGTGCCAATTCCTAACATGAAAATCCGCCAAACAGAATATTAAACCGGTTTTTAAACTGAACTCTGTGGAAAGTTAGATGCAGCTTTAATCCGAAAGCTCAAGCCGTAAATATAGCTCCAACGACAGCTTAGACCCGAGCCGTATTTCCCCGAATTTTTTAAATCGCGGGCTCTGGTTTATCCATGGATTCCTTTAAAAATCCGACAGCTATTTTGGTCCAGCAGTTTGGCCAGCTATAGTGTTCTTTTAAATGAGCAAAAAGGTCTAACGTTTAGAATTGTGTGTATGAAATGTTTATTTTAGGAGGTTAGAGAAGAGAAGGAGCTGGAAATTGGAAATGAAACCTTTTTGTTAATTATCGTTAATCTACTGACCTTTCTCTCCTACCCATTCCTTGTAAGTACACAGAAAACAGTATAAATGTTGCACAGTCGTCTTTTAAGTCTCATCCTTTGTGGGTAACCCTGTATGCTGCAGTACGTTAGTTTTATGTTCAAGTAATGTCTAAGTTACTTAACATTTGTGCAAATAAGCTATATTTAAGCTATTGCTATAGATGGACATTGTTTTTATAAACAAATAATATTTCTGAGAACGAACGAAATTGTTTGAGATAAAGGTGTCGCTTAGAGAAACAAAAAAGGAATGATCGCTGAACAAAATGGATCGATCAGAGAAATGAAAAAAGGATCGTTTCTTAAAAACTAATAAATAAACTAAAAGGGTCGTAAATGTTTTTGTTTAAACAATGTTTACTTTACTTTTCAGATTTATTTTAAACATACAATTCTTTCAGTATTTTATTTACAATTTTTTTAGGATTTACATAAGTTCTACTTAAATACAATTTACATAAAATCGATTTTTTTATTATTTACATGCTTCTTATATACATACAATTGGTTCAGTATTTACATGATTCATATTTACATACAATTGTTTCAGTATTTACGTGTGTCCTATTTACATACAATTGTTTAAGTATTTACATGTTTCATATTTACATACAATTGTTTCAGTATTTACACGAGTCCTATTTACATACATTTGTTTAAGTATTTACATGAGTTCTATTTACATACAATTGTTTCAGTATTTACATACATTTTTTTTAGTATTTACATGAGTCCTATTAACATACAACTATTTTAGCATTTACATGAATCCTATTTAAATACATACAACAGTTTCAGTATTTACATGAGTCCTATTAACATACAATTGTTTTAGTATTTACATGAGTCCTATTAACATACAATTGTTTCAGTATTTACATGAGTCCTATTTACATACAATCGATGCTCCGCATGTAGTTGATCAAATCGGACTGGCCGTTTACGATGCAGGTTCAATTTAAACATTATCGATATTAATGCACAAATAAATTTCTAATGCTACAAACTATTGTATTATCTGTACGCTTAGGTTTCTCTTATGAGCTATTAGCTGAGATCCCCAGTCCGGCCCACTGTGCAGAGGTTTCTGAAGTTTTAGCCCACTGTGAACTCCCTAGAGACCAGGAATGTATAATAACAAATTTCCTTTGTTTCCAAATCCTTGAAATGATCCTAGTTTTCAAATTTATGTAGTTGTTAGAATAAAATGCTTTGTTAAAACAATTAACATGTTACCGGATTATTTGCTTTGTTAAAACAATTATTATATTATAGGATTATTTGCTTTGTTAAAGAATTATTATATTACAGGATTATTTGCTTTGTTAAAGAATTATTATATTACAGGATTATTTGCTTTGTTAAAAGAATTATTATATTATAGGATTATTTTCTTGAATCTGATGAATTCATTTTGTGTTTGGCGGAATCTTTCAGGGAAAAACATTCATCTAAAAAAGCACTATTAAACAATTCATTGATAACAAAGGTTTATAGATACATTTAACAGGTATGATGTCTACCATTTACATACAGTGAGAATCATCAAACTGTAGAATAGGAAGACGACATTCAAGTAATATTTAATGCGTATTTGTTGTTGTTTCAAAGCCATTAGTTAAGAAGTAGCTTTAATGTAAATTATAAAATGAAACTGTCAATGTTTAAAACCATAACTTGAGTCTAACAGTCGTCTTTCTGTTCCAGAGTTTTCTTGTGCTCACTTGGTGTTAAAAATATGAATATTAAGTTTAAGTTTCTTAAAAATAATTATGTAGTTTTTCATATGTTTTTGAATGTTTTTATTTTATTTGCAGCTGTGTCGAATCAAAAATTCTAGGAATAATTTCAAATCTTCGCATTAAAAAAAGATGAAAAAGTTTTTCTTCAATTTTCCATTCTATTAAAACTTATATTTTAAATTCAATTGCAAGAAAATTCAACCAGGTAGTTTATATTGAAAAACTTGTACAGGGAGTGTTCAGAGTGTAATTGTATAATCGCAAGGGATTATCCCTTATTTGAGTGGCATGTCATATTCACAACGGTTTCTTTCAGGGTTTAAAAGTATGAGTAAAAGTGAGAAAGATATCAAAATTCTTCTTTATAAAAAAGTATTAAATTCTGTTACTGTAGTGTCCATTTTTTCTAAAGCATAAATGAGCGGGTCATTTTTATGGCGAAATCACAATTTGAAAAAGTCAATTTTCTCCTAGAGAAATAAAATATCTCATTCACTCTCAATCAAGTAAAGATGTAAAGGGTATTGTTCCAAAGAAAATTTGTCAATTCAAATTACGTCTACAGTCCCTTCAGTTTGTTATAAAATCTTATTTTGATAAAAGTCAAACCCTATAGAAATCCAACGTATAGAAACAGCTACGTATAGCAACATGGCGTATTTTCCGGGAGAAATTTTTTTTTTATTTTTGAGAATTAGACGTTTTTGTAAAACATTGTAGCTTCTGCTTATCATAATTTTTATTTTTTAACATACCCTAGACATTAAAGGAGCAAAATAGTTTAATATGTACATTTGTAGTGCTCTCTATTGTGTTTAAGGTTCCCCAGATTTTATTATTTACTGACAACGTAAATGAATGATCATATGGTCATACATAAATTTGCATGTTACTATTTAAAAAAATATTTTATAAAAATGCTATCTACAGTTTTATTTTTAGAAAAAAAAAATCTCAAAAGTTCTCCAGTAATGCGAATATGATTTCATAAAATTCCGTTTTACCATTTATATAAAAGAATTTTATGAAAATTATATCTACTTTACACTGATTATTTAACTTCTCAAAAATATAAAAAATGTTCTCCCGGAAAATACACCTTGTTGCTATACGTAGCGGTTTCTATACGTTGGATTTCTATAGGGTTTATCGCCATTTTGATAAAAAGTTAACATAGAAATGAGAATAGTCAAACAGCTATATTATTTTTGTCATCTTCCCCGTTAAAGCTTCTCTTTATGCCCCCCCCCCCC